AGGACAACAGAGCTGCTTCATGGAAGAAGAACCTCAGCTTAGCCTGTTGGCCTTTGCACTAGCTCCGATGCTATATTGCCTTATATGTATTAGCTCGGCGCTAGCGCAACAAATAAGCTAAACTGAGGTCCTCATCCATATTTTCAGTTTTTGTGTTCCCCTCTCTGTCATGTTGATGGAGGACCTCAGTGATGAGAATGTGTAGCGCTGAGCTACTACATGTATACATGGTGATTGCATCGGGGCTAATGCTAAAGCTAACAGGCTAAGCTGAGGTTCTTCTTCCATGAAGCAGCTCTGTTGTCCTCCACAGACCCGGCTCTTGGCATAGACGAAGTAGGTGGTCGCCTAGAGCGCCATCTGCTGGAGGGGGCACCGAATTGCAGAATAAAAAAAAGTAATTATTTGTAATCCGTGGTTGTAACTCTGTTCAGCACCACTTTCAATTACCTTTGCCTTAAAAAACTATAATAAAGTATTACAGGAAAAATAAACTGCTCTACCCATAAATCCCCTTCTCCCCCAATGCAGCAAACACCCCCACCCTCTCTCTCATTTGATTGATGTTGCACTGACTCGTCCTGCTCCGACACTCTGACGGGGGAGGGGCTAGTAGCGCCTCCCAGGTAGCGGTTCGTGTTGACAAACTCAATAACAACAAGTCTGTATTTTGTTGTTCCATACATGTGAACCTCTTCGGACATTTACCTGTATAAAAAGCCTAAAAAATAGTTAAATTTAGCAAAAAATCTATACAACTCGCAGCGAAGCAGTAGGAAAGGAGAGCAGAAATAATTCAAAACTTATTTCTAGCGGCAGAACAGGTTGGAAGATGGCTTTTTAATGTTATTTATTGTTTTTTAAAATCACCCAGGCTCTGACATGTTAGATATATTTGAAAATGACGTTTTGAAAAAATCCGTAAGACTTGAAAAAAATCCGTGAGGTTGCTCTATATGTCCGTATACCTGCAAAATGACGTAAAACCTTATAACTTATGGACAATCCATACAAGTTGACAGGTATGTTGATATTTATTTGATTTCTGGGAAAGCAAATAAATCTAAGTTTACCATAGTACCTTACACTGTCAAAATTGTTTTTAG